ACTTTGCTTTAAGACAGATACAGAGGTACTTAGTTTCTCTAGACCTGGCCCCCTCATATCCATGTGGAAATGAATGTTTGGTAAATCATCACGTTATAGGCAAATTGCCTGGTATCAGGCTCCTAGTCTGAAGAGGCACCGAGTCCATATGGTTTGGGTTTTTTATTGACCCTGGGACAGGATGCTGAATTAGAGAAGCTGGGGCCAATTAATTTTTTTTAATTTTAATTTTTTTGGTGAGGCAATTAGGGTTAAGTGACTTGCCCAGGGTCACACAGCTAGTAAGTGTCAAGTGTCTGGTCTGAGGTCATATTTGAACTCAGGTGTTCCTGACTCTAGGGCCAGTGTTCTATCCACTGTGCCACCTAGCAGCCTACAATTAGGTTCTGAGGCAAGGAAGTTTCACCACGGAAACCACTGGGGAAATTGGGGTTGAAGAAAGATGTGGGGATTGTGTGTGGGGAGGAAACTGCTTTTCTATCACACCCTCTCACCACCAAAACAAAGCTTCTTCCTCTTCACTTACTCCTCTGCAAGATCTTTTCCTGAGAGACCACAAGGATAATATCTTCCTCATTGCTAGCCCTCCATCTGACCTGAGTACATTATACACTTTCCTTTATTTTCCTCCTCTCTCTTCTTTGATGCATCCTTCAATTTTACAATTTTGTCCCACAAAAAAACACTGATTCATCTGTAGGCCCAGGCCCACCTCCCCACCATTACTTCCACCTGATTTCTGCCTTCACCCCTGTCTGCTTGTATACATTTAGAAAGAAGTTTCTTACTGGCCTCTTTGCTGTGCATGTTGCTGTACTTGGCAGCTACATTTATTTATCCCCCTTCCATTTCTGCTGCCTAGAGTATTTAAAAAGCAAATAATCTCTTCTGTTTTCTAAGAATGTTTCTAATGCTTCTTTATTGTTGAATATTCACCTTTCTTCACTTGTAGTTAAGCTCGGATTTATAGGGCAGATCACCCTGAGTTGTATTTTGAGCTCCATTGATTTTCCTGCTTCCTCTTGAATTTTCTGGTGGATGCATTCCCAATCACTTGTCCTTTCTTTTGTTTCTTTGAAACTTACCATGATAGATTCAAATTTTTCTACTCTGACAATTATTTCCTTTGGGAGAAGCATAAATTCTGCTTTCAGAATTCTCATTTCTCTTTTAAATCACTCAGGAACAGTGTGTTCTGTGTTCTCTACAAAATCCAAAGGGTGCTCTGTTTCATCAAGTGCTGAATCATCTTTCTTTGTTTTACAGTACTTATTCATAGAAACCTGAACTCATTTACTAGATCTGGAGCCCATGTGTCCTTCTGTTGCTAATGTCTTCCCTGTTGGCTTATGTGCTTAAGTTCAAGATCTTTGAATTTTCTTCCTCCTGAGATCATTGGTAATTTCAATCTTTTTCTCCTTATTTTCCTTTACTGCTCACTTTCTGACTCCTTCCCTTCTGATAGTGGTTTCCCTGGTGGCTGGATCTCAAAGTATCTGAACCTCTTCCCATGCTCAGCAGCAATTTATGGTTCACCAGCCTAAGCTGCCACCCCAAGTAATCTTGGGGGGTACAGAACTCTTCCACCCCCACAAAAAATGGCATCCTGTCCCATTGTTTCTCAGTTCTCTGGCCCAGCAATATAGAATGCTACAATGCTGGTGTTATTACAGCCTGGATTGATTTCTGTCCTTTGGAGTTTGGATCTCCAAGGCTCTGTGAGGAGTTGGGGAGGGAAGATGGTGGAATTTAAAAAACAAACAAACAAACAAATAAGGGTTTTAGTGGATAGCAAGTTCAATATGAATCCACTGATTGAATGATAAGGCAGTCAAGATTGCTAATGTGATCTTAGGCTACATTAAGAAAGATCCTTGTCTAGGACTAAGAAGGTAATGTCCCTCTAACTTTCCAAAACTAATTAGCTTTTCCTGACCATCACATATATGTTGTTCCCCCCATTAAAGTATTCTTTGTTTTTATCTTTCCAGTGCTTTTGGCACATAGTAAGTGCTAAATAAATCCTATTTTATTCATCCATTAAAAAAAAAAGGATTTCCTAATGATACCTGAATTCACTAGAAACTTAGATGGGTCTAGAAAATAGTGGCTTAAAAATATTACATAGAAACATAAAATATGGTCGCCTTTGTCTAATGGACTCATACCCACCTTTTTCACCTCACCAATTCAAGACCAGTTGTAGGATTGTTGCTTTTTTTTGAGGCAATTGGTTTTAAGTGACTTGCCCAAGAACACAGTTAGTAAACATCTGAGGCCACATCTGAACTCAGATCCTCTTGACTCCAGGTCTGGTGCTCTATCTACTGTGCCACCTAGCTGCCCCCAATCGTAGTTTGTACAGTTTCAAAATTAGTTTCAAATAGCTAAAATCTAGCAATTATGTATAGATTACATTTTTGATAATGTGGAGATTATAAAATACTTGTTGGACTTCTTTTTAGAGAAAGGAGTTTATGTAGTAATATGCATCTTGCTTCTTCTTGACTCTGAGGAGCTGATGTGGGCAACAAAGTTTCTTGGTATAGACCCAATTAAACATCTTGGTCACTATATCACTATGCATCCCCCATCTACTATGGGTAATACTGGATACAGGACATGACTACAATATGGGCTTGGACCAGGTTGAATGAAAACAGACATCTAGCATTCATTACAATTAGCAAGAATATTTAAAACTAAGCAACCAGAACATGAGGATAAGCAATGTTCAGTAATAACTCAGTTAAGTACTTTTCAAAATTTTACTAATCTTAATAAATGTTTAGAAGTCACTTTTGAGGTTGCTTAATAGTTGGATGTGTTAAAATTGTATCTTGTTCTGGTCCTCCTGAGCACCCTCTCACATTTTGGTCAGTAAGTTTTAGCAGCAAATAAGACTGCAAAGGGGAACCTGGAAATCTTGTACAAAATGTTCCAAAGAACAAAGATGCATAATTTACAAATTTGATCATATATTAACTAAAATTCACATCCTGGCATTATGTGCCAAATCAGGGAAAACCATCTAGGAGCTTCTTATCAAAGTTTTGGTCCTATGATACGTAAATTCTACACAAAAATTTCAGACCTGCTCAGCTCCAGACCAACAGAACACCAAATAGATAACTTTGAGATGATAACTTTGAAGTTTTTACCAATAACTCTGGGACAATGATATGTTAACAAACTAATACCACAGACAGGAGTTGTTCCCCCCCCCACACAAAAATGAGACCCTAAACTCCTGTCCCACTGACACTCTTTCATCTCCATTAGATCCATGCTGCCTAGTGATTCTAACTCTAATCCAGTTACGTATGTGATATTCTGATTCTCCGTCCCTGTCCTCTTCCTCAAACTGTTACCTTCATGATCCCATTTGCCTGTCGCTGAGCTGCACTGTCACCTCTGTATCCTTGCACTTTTTGCAGCTTGTCTCTGTGCTTTATTAAAGTATGATTGCTTTTGGAACTATGCCCAACGGCTATAAAAGTGTGCATGCCCTTTGATCTAGTAGTACCACTCCCAGGTTTATATCCCAAAGAGAACGTAAGAGAGGGAAAGATACCCACACATACAAAGATATTTATAGCCACTCATTTTGTGGCAGCAAAGAATTGGAAATTGAAAGAATGCCCATCAATTGGGGAATGGCTCAACAAATTGTGGCATATGAATGTAATGGAATACTATTGTTCCATAAGAAATGGTGAGCAGGCAGATTTCAGAAAAACCTGGAAAAACTCACATGAACTGATACTGAGTGAAGTGAGCAGAAGCAGAACATTGTACACAGTAACAGCCACACTGTGGGATGACTGACTTTGATAGACTTGGCTCTTTACTGAAATGTAAGAATCTAAGACAACTCCAAAGGAATCATGATGGAAATTGCTATTCACATCGAGAGAAAGAACCATGGAATCTGAATGCATATTGAAGCATACTATTTTCTCTTTTTTGTTTTGTTTTCTCTTTCATGTGATTTTCCCCTTTGGTTCTGAGTCTTCTTGCACAACATGACTAACGTGGAAATATGTTTAATATGATTGTATAAGTTATAGCCTATATTAAATTGCATGCTGCCTTGGGGAGAGGGGAGGTGAAGGAGGGAGGAAAACTTGGAACTCAAAATCTTATAAAAGTGAATGTTGAAAACTAAGAATAAATTTAAAAAGTGTGATTGCTGCCCCTTTGCTACTAATCATGTCTTTCCCTGCAAGGACCCAAAGAACCAGGTGTTCCTGCCCCTATTTCATAAATTATCAACTTACAAAACAAAAAACTACAAACCAATATCATTGCTGAAACATACGTTCTTACTGTGATTAAAAAAAAATGTCTAAGATAAATGCTTATTTCACCCTTCAATGGCTGTGAGAAAGCCCTTAAGTTAAAAACAAAGCCTTGTCAGTGTATGTAATTTTGGCCAAGACCCTTCAATCTAGTCAGAAATCCAGGCAGTTAGGGGAGGAAGCTTTCTTTCACATTGATACAACAGTAATAATAACATCTATATAGCGCTTCAAGGTTTGCCAAGGGCATTGCAAGTAGTCGTCTCCCGACCCCCATGCTTCTCTGTCTCACTTCTCTTCCTTCTGGCTTCTACAAAGTCTCTGCTGAAGCCCCACCTTCTGCACGACGCCTTTCCCAGTCCTTCTTCAATCTTGGTGACTTCCTTCTGAAACTACCCCTCATTTTTCTTGCCCATATCTTGTCTGTTCATAGCCGTTTGCAAGTCGTCTCCTACATTAGACTGCGAGCTCCCTGAAGGCAGGGATCCTGTTGCCTTGCGCTTGTACCCACAGCGCTTGGCACGTCGCCTGACACAAACGCTTGGCCAGCCGCCTTCATTTGATCCTCCACAACCCTGGGAGGCGGGTGCTTGTTATCCCTATTTTACAGACGAGGAAACTCTAGCCGCGGGCAGCCAGGGTTGGCCGGAGGGCCCGGGCCGGGAGGGGAGGCCGCGGGCTGGGACGAGCTCCACCGGGCGTGTGCCAGCAGCCTGGTCCCCCCCCGTCGCCTGCTCAGGCCAGAAGACGCGGCGAAATCTTGTCACCTGAGCCGACCCCCACATCAAGGCTCGCGGGGCGAAGGGAGGCCAAGGCCATTCAGCCCGCGAGAAGAACTAAAGCCCACACATCCGCCGCCAGAACGAAGCCGCCTGCGGGGCCCCCGAAGCTGATAAAGGGCGTGAACGTCCCCGGATGGAAGATGGCAGCGGAGCGACGCTCTAGCAATGTTGGGACCCGCGCCGCCACTCGATGGCCGGAAGTCTTTCGGACATGCGGAAGCGGAAGTTTAGGTGGTCGGCGACCCGGATTGTTTGCTGCTGTCTCAGGCCAGCCGCGGAGAGGAACCGGTGCTGCTGGACGGGGCGGAGTGGGGCGGGACAGGACGGGAGCGGAGCGGAGCGTGTCAGCTGCTCACTGGAGCGGCAGCCGCAGCAGCTCCCGCCCTCCCGAGCGCCGTCGTTGTCACGGGCGGAGCGTGAGTCCAGCTCCGGGATGAACAGGAGGAGGGAAGGAGGCGGCGGTTGTGCCGCAGTTGCGCGCCGGGTGACAGGTACTGGGAGGGCGGGTGGGAGGCGATGTGGAGGCAGACCGGGATGGGGCTGGGGGAGGGGGAGGGAGCGAGGGCTGCTGTGCCGTGGCCGGGCCAGCGACTTAGGCGGCCTGGCCGCTGGCCTCAGTTTATTCTCTTCGTAGAATGGGCGTCGCAGAGGGTGCATCAAGTGGCGGCTTGATGGGGAAGAGAAGGAGATTGGCGCGTGCACGTGCTCCCGGGCTGCGGGCAGAAGGTGTGAGAGGGTCCGTGGACCCTGTTTGCTAGGTCACCTTGAGCGTGTACTGTCTCCGTGCCTCAGTTTCCTCAGCTGAGAGGTGGAGTTCTTAATGACTTCCTACTTCTTATCCAGTTCTGGCAGGAGGGAATGGTTTCCAGGCAAAGCTTTCAGGGGAAATGTTGTGAATCACTTAAGTGTTGTATAATTAAGTTGTTAACTGTTAACAGTTTTTAAGGGCTTCGATATCCACTGTTAAAAGTACAATAAAAGTATAAAAGTGGGGAAAGCTGTTAGCAAACGTTTCTATAGCACTTTAAGGTTTGCAAAGCACTTACATAGGTTGTTGCCTTTAAGCTTAATAGCAAGCCTGTGCTATTATTATCCCCGTTTTACAGATGAGTAAACTGAGGCCAAGAGCAGTTAAGTGACTTTTCCAGTGTCACACAGACAAGTGTCTAAGTCACAGTTTGAATTCAGATCTTCCTGATTCCAGGTTCATCACTCTATCTACTTCCCTACCTGATTTTAGACCAAACTTTATATAAGCTAACGGTGACTTCCAGAGGTTTGGGGGCTGGACTTGAAAAGGTCTCCATCCTTTGGAAATGATGAGGCTTTAAATAAAAACTGGGGATGCACATTGCTTCTTTAATCTCATCCCTTAGTTTGTTAGCCAGATGTTGGATAATGAGGTTTCATTTTCATATTGCAATGACCTGACAGAGGCTTAAAGTCTGTGCTGCCAAAGAGAATCATTTCTGTGATCTGGACTTGTCTTTTGCCTCAGATATAAACTTAATAGCGTTTTGCATCTTTTGCCAAGTTTGGAAGTCAGCATATCTTTTCTTCGTATTTCAAGTTCGTATTATTATTTCATTAAGTACAGACACAAAGGGAGATTTTCAGTCCGTTAACAGTGAGTGGTGCAGTTTTGATCCCAGAATGGCCTTGTAAAAAGTGTCAACTTTTCATGAAGAATTTTTGAAGGCCTGCAGTCGCATCTTGTTATAGTGATTCTGCTTCCCATTATGCTTGCAAATAGTCTGTAGAATTTGTCTTAGTGATCTATGGCACTACCACTAGTTAATTAAACTAAACAAACAGCACTTTGTACAGCAATTGAATATCTTGTTTTCAGTTGCCATTAATACATGTTTGTAGAAATGCCATGCATGTAACTTTCAATTTTCATTGAAATTGTAAAGCATCTAAATAAATGGTTGTTGCCCCTTATTCTGATTCCCCAACAAAACAGATTTGCCAATTAAATAACACTTTGTTTTGATTTTTATTCACAGAAAACCAAAATTATGACTTAAGAAATAACCCTCCCTATAATGTTCTCTTTTTCATTGGGCTTTCTTCATCTATGTTGAAATCCAGTTAGTAAAGTGAATCTAAGTTGTATTTGCATGGTTTGGCGCTACTGTTTAAATAAATCTGCGATAATTGTAATATTAAATTTTTATACTTATATTTTTCAAGGAATTCAAAGCACTCCCCAGAGTGTTATTAACAATATTAAATAGTTGTTTATATAACACTGGCCTACAAAGTCACTTTTAGCTCAGAATTCATGATTATAAGATTTCTTAAGGTTCAAAAAGGTGACAGGGCAAATAATTTTTGTCAGAGCCAAAATTCAGTTTCAGGACTTCTTATTCCGTATTTAATGAACTTCTCATTCCACCAGGCGAATCTCTGTCCTCATTGTATCTCCCTGAATATTAATAGTGGGAAGATACTGCTTTCATTTTACAGATGAAAAAATTGACCAGTATTCGAGAGAAAGTGATCTCTCTAGGCCCAGAATTTGTCAGTGCTTTGCATTTAGGAGGCTATACCACTGTAGTGTTCTCAGTCCTGTTACGTCAAGTTGCAAGTTACTGATTGATGAGAAAGCTTTGTATTTCTAAGATTGCACATGTTGCCACTCACACTTCAAGAACTTTTGAGAGGAAAAATTTACTTAGTAAACTAAGGTTTTTTGTTTGTTTTTGCCAGGCTTTTTACTGTATGTCGTGTGTGATAGTAGGAACCTTCCCTTTCCATCCCTCCTCCACTGTAACAGGTTTTTACTGACTTTTTGTTGAAGAATCAAGAGTGAGGCAATCTCTCTTCTGAGAACCATTATTCTGTAATTCATACCTTTTCCATCCATTTCTGTCCCCCCCTCCCTTCCTATCTTAGTTCATTAAAGTACATGGACTATTTTTATTGTAGTGCCAGGGAATCTCAGGGTACAAATTGTATGTAGAATAGATAAAATTATAGATATGTAAACTTATTTTCTTCCTTTAGTATGGCACAGTTTAAAGCATTAATACAATTTATTCCAAAAAGCTGTCCATTTTCACTACCCTCATATTTTCCCCCAATCCCAGCCCCTGTCCTTTCTTAGCAATTTATCCCATTTCCATTCCCCTTCCCACTCCCACCACACCAAATCCTAGCTTGAGTTTCCTTTTTTAAATTTCCTTAGATTGTCTCTCACATTTGACCCCTTGACTTCAGGTTATAATTGCTCATATCTTAGGTATTTTTAGTCTAAACTTGTTTCCCCCATTTTCTCCCACTATTTTCTCATAGCACAACCTGGATTCTCTTACCCTTTCTAAAAGGATTTGAATACCAGTGGTGGTAACCATCTTAGGACTTTCAACTTCCCCATTAGTATGTTTTAACTTTTTAAAAATTCAATTTTATTTTCAGTTCCAATGTCCTTCCCTCCAACACCCTTCCCCAACCACTGAGAATGCAAGAAATACAATACCTGTTCTACCTACAAAGTCATGCAAAAGCATTCCTGCGTTAACTGTGCTCTGCAAAAAGAAAAAAAAAAACAAAAAGAAAGAGAAAAAATATATACTTCAATCTGCACTGAGTTCATCAGTTCTCTGTATGGAGGTGGATAGCATTTTTCATCATGAGTGTTTTGGAATTGTTGTGGATCATTGTATTAATCAGAGTAGCTAAGTCTTTTACAGGTGATTATCTTTACAATATTGATGTTACTACATAAATTATTCTCATTCTGCTCACCTCACTTTGGATCAGTTCATATAAGACTTCCCAGGTTTTTCTGAAACCATCCCCTTCATCATTTCTTAATTCCATCACCTGCATATTCCATAACTTGTTCAGCTGTTCCCTAATAGATGAACGTTGCTTCAGTTTCCAATTCTTTGCCGCTACAAAAAGAGCTGCTATAAATATTTTTGTACATATAGGTCCTTTTCTTTTTTCTTTGATTTCTCTCTCTCTCTTTTTTTTTTTTTTTTTTTTTTTTTGCGCAAGGCAGTAGTGTTAAGTGACTTGCCCAGAGTCACACAGCTAGTAAGTGTTATGTGTCAGAGGCTAGATTTGAACTCAGGTTCTCCTGACTCCAGAGCTGGTGCTCTATTCACTGCACCACCTACCTGCCCTCTTTTCTTTGATTTCTTTGGGGTATTGTACCAACTTTTTAAGGTTACATATCTAGGCTTTCGTTTCTAGGCTATTGTTTCTTCCCCATTATTCCAGGCCTAGCACAAAGTCTTGTACGTGGTAAGTGCCTTGTTCTTTACTGAATTGAATCTTCAAGCAAATGGTATAATGTTACCATCTACAACCTAACTGTAGTGTAATCTTTCTGGTTTCAGCTAAACCAGTTATGTTTTTATTTTAGGAAGTGTAAATTTGTCATGTTTTAATGACATAATTGACTATATAAATAACAAGAATAACAAAATTCTGATTGTATCAGTAGGTGCAGAAAAAGCTTTTGATAAAATCCAATACGTATTTATGCTAAAAAAAACATTAGGAAACACAGAAATAAATGGACCTTTCCTTAACGTGGTAAATAGAACATATCTAAAACCATGACCTACCAAATCAACAACTTCCAAATCTGTACCAGTTTAAGGCATCTTCCTCCTCCTGCTGCCAGCCCAATTTCCCAATGGAATGTGGAGAATCTTCAGTGCAAAGAAGAGCAACCCTCCCTTTGAGTTCAAGTCTTCCATCTCCTGCTGCACCTGTGTTTTGAGGGTAAAAGAGTTGTGCTTTTTGTTTAATGATGAACATTTTCACACCTGGTCATACCTTTGACATGCCAGTAACTCTGAATTCCTGTAGATCATCATCCCAACCCAACAACCCAATATTCTCATTCCCATCTCTCTCAACTAAAGTTTTATCCTGACTCCATCCAGTCCTTCCACTGTGCCCTCTGGAATGCCTGTTCCATAGGCAACATACTTCTTTTCATCTTAAATTTATTTCTTTCCCATTCATTCCATCAGCTAGCTCTTATTGATACCTGACTTTCCTTAATGATATAGCCTCACTGGCTACCATTTCCAGTACTGACTGTACCTTCACCCATTCTCCTTGGCTCTTTGGTCAATGTAGGGGAGTTGGAGTATTCCCACGTCCCATTGCCACTTCCAGGTTCTCCTCCTATTTCCATCACTCCGGAACCTCTCTTCCTTTGAGGTTCATATCTACTGCCTAATCAAAATTCTGGTACCTGTTGTTTACATACCCTTGGTCCTTCCCCTTCCTTCCTCAACCAATTCTATACAATTTTTCTCTCCTTCCAACTCTGGCCCTGATTTTAGAGGACTTCAACATACATATTGATTTTCCCTCAAATATCCTAACCACTCAGTTCCTCAACCTGCTCATCTCCTTTGAGCTAATCTTCCACCTTACCTCAGCCACACACTAAGATGGTAATACCCTTCCTTGATCTTGCCGTCACCCAGTCCATGTTTAGGAATTCTGAAATTTCTTA